TGAGACAAAGTATATGTGAACTGCTGTATGAAAAGTGAATTTACTCTGTAAATCTTCACCCAAATCCTAAAAAAAAAAAAAAAAAAAAAAACCAAAACCACTGCCATTAACTCAATTCTGATTCACAGTGACCTTACAGGACAGAACAGAACTGCCCTCAGGGTTTCCAGGGCTGTCAATTTTTGTGGAGGCAGACTGCCACACCTTTCTCCCAGAGTGGAACTGGTGGGTTCAAACCACTGACCTTTTTGCTTGGCACCCAAGCACTTTTAACAACTGCATCACCAGGGTTCCTCTGCACATACATTAACTAGCTAAAAAATTTTAAAGTTCATTCTTTCATCAAATTAACAAATACACTGCAAGTATGTAATCTATAATTTGAGAATAGATTTTATTTTTCTAAGTTTATTTTGCATAACTAAGGAACTAAAAAGCTATTTTATCTTGGTATTTTAAAATGAGGTTACTTTCACTATAAAATGACCAATATACATCAAAATACTACCAACAGGTAGCTATTAAAAATTCAAAGATAGGAAGAACTTTATAGCATTATGGTATGTAATTCATAACTCAATAAAGCAGTTACTTAAAACACCAAGAGGTAACTGCTTAAAGCAGTTTGGTATGTATGGTATGGTGGGACTGTGATTTACATATAACCAGTCCCTCTAAAAAAAAAAAAAAAAAAGGTCACAGTGGTCATCTCTCTCGTATCTCCCGTAGGCACATCTGTTGGATGACTCTGGTGGTGGAATTCTGGAAGCACCCTGATAGACCACCCTCCCCCAGACTTGGTGCCTGGGGGTGAGGACGTGCCCAGTCACACACTGGACATCCAACATTTCAGTGCCAGCCATCTGTAAGATCAAAACCGCAGTCTCCACTTCCCCATTAATCTACCCTTTTCCACCACAGCAGGTACCGCAGTCTATTCCAAGTCACGGTGACCCCACGTGCATCAGAGCAGAACTGTGCTCCAAAGGGATTTGTTTTTAGACCATTTTATTACCGTTTGGGTGAAAGTTAACAGAGCAAATTAGCTTCCCACTCGACAATTCACACACGCTTTGTTCTGGGACGTCAGTGCAATCCTCCATTGGGTGCTTGATGGCTGTTTTCCAGAAGGGTCATCAGCCCTCTCTTCTGAGGCACCCCCAGGTGGACCTGAACCCTCATCTTTGAGTCACGAGCTCAGAGTGTTGACCGTTTACACCACACAAGGACCCACCTTCACTAGCACTAATCAGGCCATTTATGGAGTACACTGATATTCTGGTTTAGTAATGATCCAAAAAGCTAAATCAGTTAAATGGAGATTTCAAACTTTATCGGTGCCCCTAAGAGTTTCTGAAACCCGATGTCCAGTGAATTGGCCCCTTTACATGCACTTTTCAGGTTAATGAAGAATTCAAACTTATGCTGTAGGGAATGACCGTTTCAAAGCCCATGTGTTAGCGGAGTTGTTGCTAGAGGCATTATCAGTTAAAGATTCAACAACCAGAATTGCTGTCTGATCTATTCCGACTCATGAAGACCCTATAGGATGGAACAGAACTGCCCCATAGGGTTTCTAAGGCTGTAAATCTTTAAGACAGCAGACTGCCTCATCTTTCTCCCACAGAACAGCTGGTGGGTTTGAACCACTGACCTTTCAGTTTGCAGTCAAGTGCTTTAACCACTGCACAACGAGGGCACCTGTGTTGTTAAAGAATGCACCGAGAAAAAAAATTAATTTTAACCACTTTTTAAGACTTCTGGTTTAAATAAAATCTGTTCCAGCTTCCATCACGTTCCCTAAAATTTCCTCTGGGAAAAGAACCACATCATTGGCTTCCAAGACCTCCTGGCTCCCTTATTCACACTCAGTCCCAGCACGGATCTCTGGTCATAACCAGTGATGGAAGACCAGGGAAAACAACTAAAATTGAGCAACTCTAAGCCACACACTCTACAGGCCAAGATGAAAGAATCTCAGCTGTGATGATGACCCGTGGTCCTCCATAGGATCCCAGCACTGAAACCAGTATGTGGTCCATCTGTGATCTTCCAATTCTGTGGCAGAAGGAACTGACCAGGGGAATAAAGGTCAAAAAAGACTCCTCTGCCGGGCAAGAGTGAACAAACGGTTGAGAAATAGTGCTCTAAATGGATATACTAATATACATAAAATATCACAACTACTGGATACTAGCCAACCAAACTCACTGCCGTCAAGTCGATCCCAACTCATAGCAACCCCTCCTTGGGTTCCGAGGCAATCTCTCTATGGAAGCAGACTGCCCGATCTGAACACTAGACAAATATAAATTACAACCATAATGAAATACCATTTTGCCACCACTAAGTTGCAAAAATTAATTAGTCTGATAATATCAAGTGTTGAAAAGGATACGTATACACTACTTTTGTTGTTGTTGTTGTTATGTGCCGTCGAGTCGGCCCCGACTCATAGCGACCCCTCCTTGGGTTTCCGAGGCAGTATCACTACGGAAGTAGGATTGCCCAACCTTCCTTCCGAGGAGTGGCTGGTGGGTTTGAACCGCCAGCCTTCTGGTTAGCAGTCAAGTGCTTTAGCCACTATGCTACCAGAGCTCCTACTTTGGAGAAGTAAAATGACACAAAACCAAAACCCGAACTCACTGCTGTGGAATCAATTCCAACTTATAGTGACCCTGTCGACAGAGGAGAACCGTCCCACAAGGTTTGTAAGGCTGAAATCTTTCTGGAAGCACAATGCCACATGTTTCTCCTGTGGAGCAGGTGGTGGATTCAAACTGCCGACCATTTAGCTAGTAGCTGTGCGCTTTACCACTGAGCTACCAGGGCTCCACAAATCGACAGAGCCACTTTAACAACGATATAGAAGGGAAAAAAAAAAAACATTACAGTGTTCCCTGGCAAGGATAAATTATTTGAACTTATTCAAATAAATATCACGAGTCAGCAACTCCTCTCCCAGGAGCTCTCACCCTAGATAAGCCTCAAGACACCTACACCAAGAAAATACCCAAGCATATGCATAATATTGTTCACAGCAGCAAAAAGCTAGAACCCAAATGGCCACAAACACACAACCATCTGTGGAATATTCAAGCAGCAGTAAGAATAACCACCACCATAACCTCCAAGACGATTCCAACTCAGCGACCCTGGAGGATAGAGTGGAACTGCCTCACTGGGTTTCCAAGGCCGTAGACCTTTACAGAAACCAAATGCCCCATCTTTCTCCCACAGAGAGGCTGGTAGGTTTGAACCATCAACCTTTCAGTTAGTAAGTTAGTAGTGTTTTAACCACTGTGCCACTAGGGCTCCAAAAACAAAGAAACTAAATCAGAAAACGTAGTCTTAGAAATGTAATACCGAATGAAAAAAAGCAATGCTAAAACTATCTATGCAATCATTTTATAAAGTTCAAATACAAGGAAAAACATTGCTCAAGGAATCCTACCATTATGTAGTATTTTTAAAGGGGAGTGATAAATACAAAACTCAGGATGGTGATGGGGCAGTGGACACACAGGTGGGTAGGAATGGCTGTGCTGGAGCTCCTAGTACATCACAGGTATTCACCATTTTGCTTCGTAACTTACATACGTTACATTACTCTCCTTAGTTCGACACATGGCTCTTCATGGTAGTGATGAATCAGTGCAAAATGTAACTTACATCCAATTCAAAAAACAGGTCTCTTTCTTTACTTGCAATCTCATAATCTGCTCGGAGGGCCAAGTCGTGGATTTTGGTACATTCTCCTAAATCCATGCGCTGTAGGAAAGAAAGCAAACATTTATACGTGCACACCTACCCACTGCAGAAAGAAACATTTACACAAGCACACCTACCCACTGTAGAAAGCACATGACTTGGAATTCACCTGTCTCTGAAATAAATGATACTTTTTGAATCCTTAAAACTATGATAAAAAATTGAGAAAGAGACCATGGCTTAGCAGCTTTGTTTTACACCGTGATGACAGAACACTTGAAACCAGTACTTTTAACATTATAAAAAGGGTTTATATTTCCATTAGACCCAGGGATAGGTGAATTATAATTATGAAAGTCTTATCAATTAACTTGCTTTTGCCAGCCTTAATTTTGCATCAGTCACACAAAACAAGTGTAAGCATTCCCTGACAGTATGGGGGAACAACAGAGAAGTCGATATGCTGAGGATCATGGTATCAAGTCAGAGTCAATATTAACAAAACCCACCATTCCAACCAGGAGACACGCCCAAAATCCACACCATCAGAAAACCATTTGTCTATAAAATTAGCGGACAAAGAAGATTTGAAACCAGGAATTCCCTTCAGTTTGTATCATTAACATATTCAAAATCTATTTCAAACACTTTATAGGTGAGATAATCTTAACTTTCTACCCAAATTAGACTCATGGGCCCGAGTGTCACAGAAAGCCCATTCCAGGGTCATTAACAAAACATCCCTCAGCACCACCTGGGACAACAGTGAGCTGGGCAGACAACTGGTCCTTCTAGGACATTTTCATCTTGGCCAAAGACTGACTTTTTCATGTTAGCTAAAATCTTTTTTCTCCTTCATTATTCTAAAGTCAAGCCCAAGTAAGTGTAGATCATGTATGCTGGCTACGTGATGCATCTAGACATAGGGCAACAGGGATCCTGCCAAAGTCACAACCGTAACTGTCATCTCTGTCAACCTGACAGAGTTCATGTCAATCTCCTAAGTCCCAAACACTATTCTCTAAAATAGAGTTCCCACAAATGAAACTAAGTACTATAGCTGAAAAATGAGTGGTGGCTGCCAGTAAGAAATGCTTAAAAATTTATGAAAGCTCTTTTGTTGAAAGAAAAAGCCACCACCAGAAGCAAGTGCTAAAACCTTAAGTGCAAAAAAAATCTTAATCCATTCTAAAACCTTCAGCTCTCAAGAAAACGTTGACATTAGGAAACCACCTATCAAGTAAAATTCTCCGATGTCTTTCTTTTGTCTCAAAAGCACCCCTGCTAAAGTACATGGAGAACAAGCCTGGTTCCATGGTTATCTTTTTCTGGATGTCATCATTTCAACTTTTCCAAGTCTGCAGGGAGGTTATGGCCAGTCCCCGAGCAGCCTAACACCAAGTAAAGCTAAAATATCACACTCCTTAAATCTTCCCAAGGTATTTCTAACTAACTAACTAACTAACCTGCTGCCATCGAGTCGGATCAGACTCACAGAGACCCCTCCTTGGGTTTCCGAAGTAGTATGATTACGGAAGTAGATTGCCCAATCCTCCTTCTGAGGAGTAGCTGGTGGGTTTGAACCACTAACCTTCTGGTAAGAAGTCAAATGCCTGAGGCACTATCCAGGGTCTGTGAAAGCCAATGTGTCAGACTTTGTATTTCACACCCTCTGGTGGGCCTAATACTGCTGACAGGAAAAGGCACTAAAGATTTCTTATTACTTCCAGGACTCCTTGTCTCACGCCAACTCATGAATGTGCATTTATTCAAAACGTAGTAGAATTCAAAGATAACTACACAGTGGAAGATTATTTACTGTGATTCAACCACTGACAGGAAAAGAGTCTTACAAAGATCAACACCTATCATTTTAAGATTCTAAACCTGCCTCATGGACTATAAAAACTGTTCACTCATTTCAAGGTTCAAATGAGTTGGTTTCTTGAAAGGATAACATAAAACTACAAAATCAACGCCATCCCCAACTGATCTTTAAAAAATTAAAAACTTAGGAGAAAATATATCTTGCTAGATCAAAAGTCTAGCATATTTTAACTTTTAACCTGAAAACAAACCAACCAACTCAGAATCTTCAAAAGCTGACAGGCTGATCCGAAGCATGTGTTTTGCTAAGGACTTAATAAGACTACTTGGAATACTTAGTTGTGGCAACACCAATAAAAAAACAGTGTTACAAAAATATTCTGTTTACAGACTTTTACATTAAAGAATTTATGTTTCATAATACAAAACTCCACCAAAGTAATAGAACTAACATTTGGAGGGTAGTAAGTTAAGTAAGTTTCTGCTGAAGAAAACCATAATCCAACATGCAAACCCTTCCCCTGCTTACACTGCACCCACGTCTGAGCAATCCCAGTGGTCCCCAAAAAGGCACCTACCGTCCCAGCCAGGATGTCATGGGGGCAGCAGTCCAGTAGGTGACTCTTGCAGACACGGTCATCTGTAAACTTGACCCTCTGTCTGGTTTCGTCTCCTGAAATTCACGTGTGGTTTTAAATAAGACAATATTACCACATTAACTGTAAGGGAGAATCCGGTACAACAATTCACCTGGATTTGCAGACTACCATTTCTGTGTTCTCCCCTGATATACACTGAAAAACTTATCTAAAGAGATTTGCAAGTGGAACAGAATACAGATGTTTTCTGATGCTGAGTGTATCATGGAGAAATAGACTTAATGAGGTCTGACTCCATCTTTGTGCAAAGGAAGTGGAGGAGTCATAAGTAAAAGGCTGACAAGTGCTAAACAGGCATTAGTCCCACACATACACGTGGGGGAATGAGATACCAAAACCCATGCGAATCAGAGGGCCACGAATCACCAAGTTGACTTGTAGCTGGTATTTTCTACCAACAACAGCTATTGTTTAACCTAATCTTTTGTTATGGACAATTGCATAGGCAGTGTTTTGCCCCAAATTACATGAAGAAGAAAGTTTCCAAACGCCACCTATTAGATAACTTATACCTAGTCTTCCTATCCCCATTTTGCCCCCACCCTTAAAAAAGAGAGTTGGCACCTGGGAGTCACTTTTACCAAGACAATACCAAAAACAAAAAAAAGGGGGGGGAAAAAAAAGCAGAAAGGAACTAGGTTGGTCAATACACACTGTGAGCTCCAACACATACTGTACCCATCTGCATTCTTCAAGACCTCAGCTGCAGAATTTTATGCCCGCTGTTGAAAAGTTTTAAAGGAAAAGTTTTCTGGCCCACACCTGCAGTAAGGAAGTCAGGGGAATGATACATAAAAGTAAAGGCAAAGTGGTATGTGACAAATTTTAAAGCTAATCTGTGTATATGACACAGAGCTGTGTAATACTAAAGGAGGGATATATTTTAGGATTTGCAAGCATCCAGGATTAATGTAGTGTCTTTTTTATTGAAAATGTTTTCTTTCTAAACTACACTTTTAAAGTTACTGGTGAAAAAAAGCAAACACTTTTTTGTTATAACAGCTTAGAAATTGGTTGTGACTCACGGCTCGATGAACATGAGGCTTTTCTGCAACTCCCTTGCAGATTGATGTAGGCAGGCAAAGATACACTGAACCTTTATAAATAAAATAGAGGGGCCACAATTGTTCAGTTTGTATGAAATAAAAATATGGGAAGCAATTCAAAAGCAACTCAACATACAAAGAGAGCTAAAAAGCACTTAGTCACCTATGAAATAAAGTGCAAAGAGTCTGCACCGCCCTGCGATGAGCCAGTGTGACCATAACAACTTCGTTACTTCAGGAGAAAAAGAAGGCACAAACCACAGCAGGTACATAGTTTTGCAAAGAGGCAACCGCTTTCTCCCGAGACAACCGTCATGGTCTCGCTCTCCTCCCTACGGTACAACCTACCTAACAGCTGCCAAACGCTGGCTAAACAGAGAGGCTCTCCTGGGCGCCTGGGGGAAGGGGGCTGGAAAGTACTCGGCAGGAACCCACGCGAGAAAAGCTCGATTTACGGCTCCCCTTGCAATCGTACAGAACAACAAGGTCCAGGGCTCCCAGGAGCCTCGGAGGAACTCCGCCACCTGGCTGCCGGCGACCCGGAGCCCGCCATGGCTCCGGCCCTTCGCCGACTCCCCCGGTTCGCGGAGCAGCCGCGGCGCCGGCCGAGAGGAAGTCGCAAGATGGTAGGTTGGGAAGAGATTAGAGCCTCGCCGACGGCGCGGGCTCCGAGGGAGGAGCCCGGCCCGGGAGAAATCCGGCCGCGGCCGCCTCCGAGGCAAGCCAGCTCAGACAAAGGCCCGACGCCTGCGGTCGGCGCGCGGGGGAAGGGAGCGGCGCCGGCGCAGGCGCAGACGCTCGGCGGCCCCCGCCTCAGGCCGCCCGGCGGCCTCGCCTCGCTCCCGCCCCAAGCCCCTCGCTTGGCCGGCCGCCCCGACTCACCGTCCCGGGCCGTGCCCATGAGCTGGTCCAGCAGGGCCCGCATCTGCGCCTGGGCGGACATGGTGGGCAAAGTGGGCGGCGGAGACGGCCGCGACGGCTCCTCGGGACAACGACGGCGGCAACAACGAAACCTGGTCGCGTCGGCCTCGAGCCCGCTAGGCTCCTTCCAGCCGCGAGGGACGTCGGGAGGAAATACGTAGGCGACGGCGCGTGATCTTCTGGGAAATGTAGTTCCCTGTGAAGGGAAAGGGTGGGGCGGGGGTCCTGCCTCTACAAGCGACTAGAGATGCCTGGAGTTCGTTGGCCCGCGTGCTCCGACGTCTGGGAAACTGACGCTCCGGGTGTTCCAAGGGGCGGAGCCAACATTCCAGCCCCGATTTTACTCTAGACCACCAGGCCTTCAATTTCTTTGCTATATGCTGAAAAAAGGTATTAGCAATGAATATGTGGTTGGTCTTGCAAAATTCTATATGCGTTGTTTATTGAAAGCTTATATGCATGTGGTGCTGTGGTTAAGGCCCTGGGCTGTTAACCAGCGGTTGAAGCCCATAAGCCGTTCTGTGGGAGAAAGATGAGGCAGGCTGCTTCCATAAAGATTTACAGCCTTGCAAACCCTATGAGCCAGTTCTACTTTGTCCTGTAAGGTCTCTATGAGTTGGAATTGACTCCATGGCACTGGGTTTGGTTTTTAGCATACGCATGTGAGGGCTGGACGATGAGTGAGGAAGACCTCAGAGGAACTGACGCATTTGAATAATGTTGTTGGTGAGGAATATTTAATGTATCACAGACTGATAGAAGAACAAACAAATCTGTCTTGGAGGAAATATAGCTGGAATTGTCCATAGACACAAGAATGGCCAAACTTCTCTTGTATCTTGGTCATGTTGTCACAAGGGACCAGTCCCTGGAGAAGGATATCATGTTTGGCAAAGATCAGCAGAAAAAGGAAAGACCCTCAATGGGGTGTATTGACACAGTGGTTGTGACCATGAGCTCAAGTATGGTGATGAGCCTAAGGATGGCACAGCACCAGGCAGTGTTTCCTTCTGTTGTACATAGGGTCGCTGGGAGTCGGAATCAACTCGGTGGCACCTAACAAAAACAAAATAGACGCTAAGGAATGGCATGTGGTATAGTCAAAAGAACTAGGAAATAAATTCATGCTTTTTTCTGGCCAGCCAGGAAAACTTGAGCATATAATTTAACTACGCTGAATCTGTTTTTTTCACATCTGTGAAATGGAGATTCTAATGGTGTCTTTTCTATGGCTTTTATGAAAATTGAATAAAGTGTGTGATTAATTTTGGCCTTCTGAGCTGATAATTTGCCATCTAGGAGGTGAAAGGAGACATATGTAAACAAGCAAATACTGTATGTTGTAATGGTATTGTAGGGAGCTCTGGTGGTGTAGTGCCTAAGGCATTTGACTGCTAATTAGAAGGTTGGCGGTTCAAACCCACCAGTCACTCCACAGAAGGAAGACTGGGCAATCTATTTCCATAAAGATTTACCACTTTGGCAACCCAGAGGAGATCGCTAAGAGTTGGAATTGACTTGATGGCAGTGGGTTTGGTGGTTTGTTTTTTTTAATGTGTAAGTAGTCTGCCTCATGTTGTTAGGTGCTGTTGTATAGGAAGACGCCATCCATTTCTCAAACAATTGACCAGTGAAAACCTTGTGAATAGCAGTGAAACACAGTCTGATATGAATAGCCTTCAAACATTGTGTGATATAGTGCCCAAAGATGAGCCCATCAGGTCGGAAGGCACTCAACGATGGGCTCAGGTATAGCAAGGATTGTGGGGCTTGCACAAGACCAGGCAATGTTTCCTTCTGCTGTGCATAGGGTCACTGTGAGTCGGAGAGGACTCGACAGCACCTAACAACACAACTCATGGGTTCTGACTCACAGCGACCCTGTGCACAGCAGAAGGAAACTGCCCAGTCCTGCGCCATCCTGACAGTTGTTGCCAGAGTCAGTGCACCGCCTTGAGGGTCTTCCCTCTTTTCGCTCATCCTGCGCTACACCAAGCATGATATCCTTCTCCAGGGACTAGTCTCTTCCGACGACATGCCAGAGTCTGGCCATTCTCTCTTCTAAGGAGCATTCCGACTGCCCTTCCTTCCAGACAGATTTGTTCATCTAGCAGTCCGTGGTACATTCAACTTTCTTCACCAATACCACAAAGTCTGCTGCATACTTCTATTATATTTAATGTCCCTTACAGATCTTGGACTTAAAATAAGTCCAAGAGAACCAAAATATGATCTTGAATATATCCCTCCTGAATTTAGAGACCATCTAAAGAATAGATTTGATCATTGAACACCAACGACCGGAAACCAGAAGAATTGTGGGAGGAGATCAAGAACATTATCCATGAAGAAAGCAAGAGTCACTAAAAAGACGAGAAAAGAAGAGAAGACCAAAACGGATGACAGAAGAGACTCTGAAACTTGCCCTTGAGCGGAGAGAAGCTAAAGCCAATGGAAGAAATGACAAGATAAAGGAGCTGAACAGAAGATTTCAAAGAGCAGCTCGAGTAGACAAAACCAATTACTATAATGAAATGTGCAAAGACCTGGAGTTTGAAAACCAAAAGGGAAGAACATGCTCGGCATTTCTCAAGCTGAAAGAATTGAAGAAAAAATTTAAGCTTCGAGTTGCAATATTGAGAGATTCTATGGGAAAAATATTGAATGATGCAGGAAACATCAAGAGAAGATGGCAGGAATATACAGAATCACTGTACCAAAAGGAACTGGTTGATCTTCATCCATTTCAGGAAGCGGCATATGATCTAGAATCAATGGTACTAAAGGAGGAAGTCAAAGCTGCAATGAAGGAACTGGCAAAGAACAAGGCTCCGGGAATTGACGGAATACCCATTGAGATATTTCAACAAACGGATGCCACACTGGAGGCACTCACTCGGTTATGCCAAGAGATTTGGAAGACAGCTACCTGGCCAACTGACTGGAGGAGATCTATATTTGTATCCATTCCAAAGAAAGGTGATCCCACAGATTGTGGAAATTATAGAACAATATCATTAATATTGCACGCAAGTAAGATCTTACTGAAGATAATTCAAAAACGTTTGCAGCAGTGTATTGACCGAGAACTTCCAGAGGTGCAAGCTGGATTCAGAAGAGGACATGGAACAAGGGATATCATAGCTGTTGTCAGATGGATCTTGGCTCAAGGCAAAGAATACCAGAAAGATGTTTACTTGTGTTTTATTGACTATGCAAAGGCATTTGATTGTGTGGATCATGACAAACTATGGATAACATTGAGAAGAATGGGAATTCCTGAACACTTGATTGTACTCATGAGGAATCTGTACCTTGGCTGTCGTTCGAACGGAACAAGGGGACACTACATGGTTTAAAATCAGGAAGGGAATGAGTCAGGGTTGTATCCTTTCCCCATACTTATTCAATCTATATGCTGAGCAAATAATCCGAGAAGCTGGACTGTATGAAGAAAAATGTGGCATCAGGATTGGAGGAAGAATCATTAACAAACTGAGATACGCAGACGATACAACTTTGCTTGCTGAAAGTGAGGATGACTTGAGGCACTTACTGATGAAGGTTGAAGAATACAGTCTGCAGTATGGATTATGTCTCAATATAAAGAAAACAAAAATCCTCACAACTGGACCAATGAGCAGCATCACAAAAATGGAGAGAAGATTGAGGTTGTCAAAGAATTCATGTTGCTGGGTTCTACAATCGATGCCAATGGAAGCAGCAGTCAGGACATCAGACAACGCGTAGCATTGGGAAAGTCAACGGCAAAGGAACTGTTTCAAGTGTTAAGGAGCAAGGATGTCTCCTTCAGGACTAAGGGTGCGCCTGACAGAAGCCATGATATTTCCAGTCGTGTCGTATGCATGTGAGAGCTGGACAATGAATAAGGAAGATGGAACAAGAGTTGATGCTTTTGAGTTGTGGTGCTGGCGAAGAATGCTGAAAGTATGATGGACTGCTAAAAGAACTAACAGATCTGTCATGGAGGAAGTGCACCAGAAATGCTCCTTGGAAGCCAGAATGGCCAGACTTGGTCTCACCTATTTTGGTCATGTTGTCAGAAAGGACCATTCCTTGGAGAAGGATGTCATGCTTGGTAGGGTGGAGGGTCTACCAAAAAGGGGGAGGCCGTCAACGAGATGGATTGACACGGTGGCTGCGATGATGGGCTCAAGTATAGCAGGGATCGTGGAGCTGGCGCGGAATCGGGCAGTGTTTTGTTCTGCTGTGCGTGGGGTCGCTATGAGTCGGAAACGACTAGACGGCACCTAACAACAACAACAACAGATCTTGACTTTGTTGGTTGTAATAGCTGAGGTGAGGGGCGGAGCAGGGGCCCGGATCCCTGCGGCCGGGGTCCACTAGTTCTGTGACGGAACTACGAGCTAAATGGTTCGATTAGCAAGGAACCGCCCCTCCGAGGCGCACAACCCAGGCCAGGCGGAGGGTGTGGACTGCCCGGGCTGCGTAGCAACGGTGGGGGGCGGGGCCGGAACTGAAGTGGGCGGGGCGTGTCCGGCGCACCGCCTCCCGAGCCCTGGCTGGCCGGAAGTGATGCTAGGGGTGGGACTTGCGGAGCGCGGCTGGCTGCGGCGCCGCCGGCGGGGAGAGTGCGGAGGAGCGGCAGCAGGTGAGTGAGCGCGGTCTCGTCCGTGCGCGTGCACAGCCCGGCATTCGCCCCGCGGGGACAGCCCGTCTGAGACCCCGGCTCTTCCCAGTGGCAATCCTGCCTCCTCACGGACCCTGGCTCCCAGCTGACCCCTGACCCCCGGTGACGCCGGTTCCTCACTGGTCCCGGCCCCCAGCTGTTCCGGGCTCCTCACAGCCCCCGGCCCCCAATGAGCTCGGTTCCTCACAGACTCTAGCCTCTGGTAACACCAGATACTGGGTGAGCCCGGAGACCCGGGCCTCGACAGACTGCAGCCCCTGGCTCCTCTCAGACACCGACTCCAAGGTGGCGCCAGTCCCTTAGTGATCCTAGAGCCAAGCGGGACCACACCTCCTCGCAGACTCCAAACCCCGAGTCAGCCCAGACCCTTGCAGACCTAACTGTTGATGACCCCAGAGCACATGTGTCTCCAGCCCTTGCATGACACCGGTCCCTTGGTAACCCTACATC